GTTTCAGAATTGAACTTGCATTCGCAAATGATGTGTTGTCGTGCGTCAATCAGTGCTTCTTCTGTCGGAGATAAGAGCAAGGTGTGGTTCTGCTTCTTCGCTTCCTCGAGACCGTCATACAATGACCTTGGATGACCACAACATTGAAGAAGGAGTTGGTGAATGCCTGCATGCTTTTGAGCCGCCTTCTTCCAGTCCTCCTTCTGCTTCCAAGTGTCGATGGGCAAAGCCTCGAGCGGCAATGAAATGACTTTCCGACCGCTTCCAGTTGCCGCGTCGTTCAAAAACTGCTGACTGATGTGGGCAAAGACGAAAACCAACTTGCCTCCACGAGCATCTGCTGCAGACATCAAGGCTTTCAAAACATCGTCAGCCTGCTTCTTCAACTCGCCGATCTCGTCGATGAAGAGCACCAACGACTCCCCCTCAGCCACGTCGAGCGCCTTGCGAAAGAGGTTCAGGCATTGCTCAAAGTCCAGAAGGGAATACTGATGGGCTTCCACCTTCAGGTTTGCCATGAGAACGTGCCCAACGCTATCAAGAGCAGTGTTTTGCAGTGTCTGCGATTTCCAAAACACGTTTGCACTTTCCGCACTCCCACCGTTGAAGGTGAGGTATGCGCCCTTCGCCGGCATCTTCAGGTCTGGCAACACCTTGGCGAGTCCGTATTTGAGCATCGTCGTTTTGCCGATGCCCTTCATGCCCGACGTGCCGAGGATCGGAAACTTGTTATCGGCGGTGTTTCTGTTCTCACCCTTGGTGGAATCGCGGATGTAGTTCTGCATGATTTCGATTGCATTCGTGCGGGAGTCTTCGACAATCTTTGGGGTATCTGATGGCTTTGGCGAAGCAATCTTGCCCTCTGCGATGCCTTGCTCAATCTGTTGACATGCCTTGCCTGCTGTGAGAACCTGCAGGGGAACACGTGCAAAAATTGAACCCAACAAATCATCAAAAACCCAAGCCTAACCTAAGCACAGCCGGCTTTAGCAACCTTGTTTAACAACGCGTGCCTCGGACTGCTTTGCCTGTTCTCGCTCATATTGCAGGGTCTCCCATGCTCTGTCTACAACCTGTTGCGAGACAGGCACCAAATTGGAGTTGGGGTTCTCGCTCGCGCTGCGGACGAGATCTTGTTCCGCCTTTCTAAACGCTTCCTCTGCTGCATCCACTCGTGATTTCTTGGCAGGCGGCTCAAATTGCTCCGCGTCGGACATGGCTTTGCGCTAAATTTCAAACACAATATACCTTGCCCGTCCTGATGGCTTGGGATTGAATGCGGTTGTGGGCTACACATGTGATGCCCTTCATGATGACTCTACGGAAAGAAACTGTTGGGGCTTGTTCTTGGGCAAGAGATGCACAACTCTCGAAAACTACAACCTTTAACCCTAAAC